GTTCGAAATCTGGGGGAAAATGTTCGTTGTAGTGTAATTGTTGAATACTGTCTGTAGTTTACCCGAGTAGTACACATTTAAATAAAACATTTTAACGGTTTAGAACACGATTTTTTTTATATATAGAATAAATTTCAAACAAGTTTATCTAATATATATCGCGTTTTAAACCGTTAAAATGTTTTATTTAAATTCTTCATTATTTTTATAAATTTTAGTTGCCAGCATTAGTCACGCAAAGCACATTAAGCCGTAGCTTCGAATATTGATAGTCTTCCAAGCACTGGCAGCCCAGCAATTACACATTAACAGGTTGCACGAAAAACGTAGAGAATAACTAATGTGGAATCAACGCGGATACATGACACCAAAGAACAATTAAGGCGAATTCTCGTAATTAACGTTTAATATAATGACAAAACATATCCGTGATAACTTCGTAGTACCCTACATATTTAATCAGATCACCTCTTAGGCGGATCCGCATATTGTTTTCCGTCTGGTCAAGCGGATACTTATTAAAATTAATTACGAGGCCGCCTACTCGAGTTAGATCTCATTATCATTGATAACGGAATTTCAGCTTGAGCGAACCCGGTTGGCATAAAAAATTAAGAGCTAACATCATATCGTTTACGTGTCCGTTTTTGTGTTTAGTTAGAGTTAAAAGGAAAAAAATACAAATACGATGTAAGTATTTAAAATGGCACAGTTATTTTCAAAATTGCTTAAGTATATTTGTAAATTCTTTTAACGATGATACTAAACTGTTTTACAATGATTTTGTATGTATGTTAAGTTTTATTACAAATTAACATACATACTAAAAACGCCTACAAAGTAGTGGGTCTATCACTTATATAATTAAAGTACATATCATTTTTAATTTAAAAATATTTTTCCAAATCTACAAAGCCGAAATGTTTCTGGGATATTTGTGCGGCCTTGTCTGTCCTCTAGTGTAAAAATTATAATTATATGTGTAAACATTTATAATATAATATCTTTAAAAGAAGTGTTTATACTTACGTAACTGAAAAGTGATAAGGACTATCATGTTTCAGTTACCTAAGTTATACCAGTATAAAGGAAAATCCAAGAGCGAATCTGTGTCAACTTTTTTCAATTTATGCCCGCAATGAGTAACATAAAATAACAATCTTAAACAATTAGTTCTGTCATCGTTTTTCAAGAGCTTCCCGAAGCGAAATTAAGCCATAAAACTTTACGACGCAAAAGCGACGTTACTCATAAATTATCATATTCTGGCGCAAGAAAAACGAAGGATTCGCAAATCGACTTTTGCGCTGTTGACGTACTCGACCCGATCTTAGTAATTTTCGACTTTAATTTCGATTCAGCGTTGATGTGAGGTTGGGGGCGGAATTCTAAATACGATACAAGATTTAAATTTAAAAAATTTATGACAAAAGTCGAGTTAAATTCTATATCATGTTTTCGAGAATCGACCCTCTGACCTTTTCACTCAAGCTATATCTTTTATTTCAGACGTGGTTATCATCAAACGTTGATCTGTAATGGCAGTTCGAACGAGGCTGCTACATCCGTTCTCTAAGGTCTGCCGCGACCACGCCCTGCCAGCAACTTCTATACTATAGGCGGCTACTGCGCAATCGATTCATTTGGAGCTACTAATTCGCAAGGCTCTAGCGATATAGCTAAATATGTCGAGAGGGTTTTTTGCAAACCCTTATAAGTGATTGTGTACTGAAAAACGTGTACATAATGTATATGTGCCCATTTTTAGATGATAACTCTCGTTAGCTTTTTGTGTAATTATTTTCCGGAAAAAGGGTTGCATTGCAACAAAACGGGACAATCCAACGCGCAATTAGCAGTAGATCATTTTAATTAGCAATTAAGTAAGGAGTTAATGATATGCTAATTAGACATATAGCTCAAGATAAAGTTGTTCAAAGGTATTTAGTATAAAAGAAGGACACTAAAACTTCGTTAAATTAAATCGTATGAGTCTGTAGTAGACATCTAGTTTAATATATATGAATTCAAGTATTGCTATACATTTATTTTATACTTATTTTAAGTTCTTAGCGACACAAAACAAACACATACTTGGTATATAAATAATATAAAATATGAAGTAAGTATTTTTTTAATAAATAAAAAAAAATGTTAATGTAATTTTGAATTTCGAATTAAATAGGAATACCAAAGATTTTTTTTAAATAATTTACCTTACCTTTACCTGTATAAACTCGTAATAACTGTTTAATAACACCTAATATTAAAATCAAACATTTTTAACGGTTTAAAACGAAAAATATAATTTACAAAAAAATAACCTTAGACCAAACTGAAACGTAACTTTAAAGGTATATACATATTTAAGTTTATTATGCCTTCTCCACGTTTCATTCCACTCCATGTATAAGACCTCCACCTGACTTGACTGACGGCTCATAATGATTCAGATGCGTTATTGTAATTCATATCTATAAAATATATCGCAATGCAGCTAAAAAGTGGTTCGCTGTTAAAAAGTGAAACCTTGTCGTCTAGTACAAGATATCTATTTCATGTATCCGGTTTATGTACACCCTGGGGATTAAGGTACATTGCATACTGCCTTTGCCCACGAACCCGGTATCTAGGTACCTAGATACCGGGTTCGTGGGGTAATCAGGTTTTTTTTAATAAATTTACTAGCTCCTACACGGAGTTTAGTATTAAGTCAGCACTCTTTCGGGCATCACTATTACTTAAGTTGCGATACCCACAGTACCTGTTAGCTAGCACGGGAGCTGTGCGGTTGGTGTGAGCTTTGTAACCTACGATTGGGAGGGGAGGTCCTGTGCCCAACTTCGAAAAAAAAATAAGATTTTTTTTATTTAAATAAAACACTTTAACGGTTTAAAACGCGATGTATTAGTTTAACTAATTATATTATTATTTAAAAAAACGCGTAAACTATAGACAGTATTTAAGATTTTTTTATTCATATAAGTTACTAGCTGACCTGGCAAATGTTTTTTTTGCTAAATGAAGTATTAATGAAGTACACGAGAAAAAATTCCCATAAGAACGCATCTTGTGGGGTAATCTTAGTGACACTTAGACATATACCGTCACGTCTTTCTATGGAAAGCGTCAATTATTAAGATTAATTTTCCCCATTTACTCTACTCATAAATTTTCCGCTGTTTCTTCGCTCCTATTGGACTGTCTGATATTTTATAATTCTAAGCCTTACTTGTCAAATGATCTACCCAACACAAAGTTTGAATTCGAACTAGTAGTTCCTAAGATTAGCGCGTTCAAACAAACAAATTCTTCAGCCTTATATAATATAGTATAAATTTTCACCCCGAGCTCGCAACTAAGAACAATAATTTTTGAAATCAACCACAAAGCCAATGCCGACATAACATTTGCTACCGTTAAATTGTTTGCGTAACATTATCAATAAGAAATTACAAGTTTCTCTTTTGATGTGATCTCATTCGTTATAATCAGTTTTTTGCAACAACTCGACCGCACACTACGTTTTGCAAATTGTTTTGTATAATTACGTTTTATTGTGATGCCCCGATGTAATTATTTGGACATTGATATTGGCTAGACAGCGTTATCAATTACTCTACATTACAAAACATAAGTATAATACATATTTATGTACTGTCTGTAGTTTATGCGAGTAGGACACATTAAAATAAAACACTAACGGTTTAAAACAAGTCTCCCTGTGACCAGACCTGTTCGTAATTAAAAATTATTTTAAAGTAAGTTTTACTAATATATATCGCATTTAAATGATTTTGTGTAGTCTAGTCTGCTTTAATAAATCAATTTATGATATTTTAAACCCATTATTTTAATGATTTAACGCTATGCGCTTTGAACTATAGAGATAGTCAATCTTAATATCTGTACGTCTTTTTTTATTGACGTGTACTTTGTAAAGGGTACACCATAGCCTTACAAAAAGAAAGGTTTCTTGGAAACATGAGAGTCTACTTTAGTGTTATAATAATTCCTGTATAAAATATATCAAGATGTATAGTAAAACATATAATAGTTTAAATTCGTCTCCAATTTGCAACATCACAAGTTACAAGCTTTCCTATTAAACATTTCAAAGTTTTTTATTTAAAGTGTAGTATTAAAAACATAATTAGAAAACGTAACACATACGAAATCCGTGAAGCAAAAATGTTATTAGTTTAAAAGCCTCTCTTTTTGTTAAAAGAATAACGAGTTCGGAATCTTTTCGTGCAATTTAGCGAACTATTAAGTACAGTTTTAACACCTTAAAGTTACAGAGAACGTCTCCTCAATTTACGTAATTGACGTTTTAAGAAACTCATTTATTATATTTAAAATTTGTTTCTCCTTATGTTTAAAAAGTTTTAACTTAAATACAGTTATAATGGTCAAAAATTTTTTTTTTGCTTTTCTAGAAAACGCAGGTATTTGACATCGATCATATCCTGGACAGTCACGGTGTTCTGATCTTAAGGTGGCGATAGATCGGCTTCAGAACTAAGTCGATTATATTATCAAAAAGGGCAAAAGCTCTCCGACGAACCTGTATTTATTGCAAGCAATTAAATTTTGCAATCACTCTTGTAGCACTCACAATTTAATTAAAAACTACGTGAAAATTATCTGGTAAATATTGACTAACACTGTGTAGCAATAACGTACAGCCGTACAAAAGAGTTCAACGACGCCGCTGCAAAGTTGTGCGCATGATAAGACAGTTTCTTGTCTTACGTAACCGTAGATAAGGCTAACTAAGCCCTTTAGCAATTTATTATGCACACAGTATTAAATATATATAGCGCAATAATTTTAACGTAATAGCACGTTTTAATAGCAGAAGTATTTTTAAAATGTATTTGCCGTTACTTTAAAGAATGACATGACGTAGCGTGCGTACTGGAGATAGCGGGAAAATAAATTCAATTTTCAAAGGCTGTCGCACTGGGCGGCGTCGCAATTGCGACTAGCGGCCAGCGCTATCGTTCATACAACCGAGTACCGTTAGAGTGAGAGAGCAGAGTGCGGCCGTAGGAGCGAGGGAGACAGTGGACCGCGCCCCGTCCGAGCCATCCGGAAGCCTCGCTGAAACTGGACCGTTTTCTTTTCTTGTTATTATTGAGATCGGCTCTCAAGTTCTGTTGTTGTCGCGCGGCGCGCCGCTCGCGCTGATAACGCGATGCCATGCTGACCTGCGCACGCGCCTAGCGCCGTCTCCCGTTGCTCCGCTGATGGAATGGATATTGAGTGCTACTGACTCCTAAGGATTTTGTGATTGATTTTTTTTTGTGATAACAAAAGTGAAAACTATCGTGCACGATCAATAAGCGCAATTAATACGGATTTTAATTAACTTTTAATATAGAGCGGAGTGATTTTTACAAATAAAACTCTTTCGGAAACAATTTGAAGAAATTCTTCAATACGAAAGGTAGGTCAGTTTATTTTTAATATGATAAAAAACACTAGTTCAACACGTTTCCAAATTTAATGAAAACAACGAATAAATCACGGTGTATATAAATAAAACAAATTAATTTATCAAATTTTACACGCAATAAATTAGGAAAGATTAGGTGATTATTTAAATTTTATGCGAGTTTAAATATATCACCAATAACATTACAATATTATGCAAATAAGTTCACACTTCTCTCACTTCTTTATTTTCCTGCGAGTACATTCTTAAATCGAAATATACGATAGTCACAATTTATGTCTTTTAACATAGGAGTTTTAAATTGCCCCGACATTTAAATTCAACCACATAAAAACTTCATAAAATTGTTTTTTTAAATTAATAAATCTTTTGATTAATACGGTTTAATAAAAATATTAGGAAACAATAGTATGAAATTGCATCTTTAATACAAAATGTTCACGACAATTATATTTAAGAGATAAAAATATTAAATTTGATTTAAAAGTAGTATTAAAAAACAAACATTGCTTTACACAGATACTGCTCTAACATTCTACAGTAACATTCTTATAATTAAAGACTTACGTTGTATATATAGCATAAAAATTATGCTAAATACGTTTGCAGTGTAGTACAAAAAATACTTTTACGGTTTAAATCGCATTATATTTTAGTTAAACTTATTTGAAAATTATTTTAACATCCGTGGTCACAGCGAGACTCCCCGTTAAAGTGTTTCATTTAAATAACTAAAAAAATAGTGCTGTTATAAGACAAATTTTCCACAGACATTTCTACAACTGCCACTTTTATAGCACTACAGGCAACATAAAAAGATTACAGTTTCACTACAATTGTCACTGTTCACGCGACAATAAAAACAAGTAAAAAATAAACTAAACAAGATTATTCGACCTAGTAAACCAGAAAGTTTAACCGCGTACCACCGACGGCCGACGGGTAAGGCTTTTTTGCTCTAACTCTCGAACCGTTCCTGTACCTTACTGAAATTGTTTAATACAAATAACTCAAAGAAGAAGTATATCGGAAGATAATATAGTTAATGCAAATATTTAGAAATAAATTTAAATTTAGAATCCCTACTTTTTAATTGATGTGACGTTTATAAGTAAATAAATGTTTTTAACATTGACAATATTAGTATATAGTCAAAACGTCGTTGAAATATTACCAATTAATTTAGTTTAAGTTACTGTTATTATAACAGTCATACAAATAAATTTTTCCCTTTAATTTTATAATGCTTATATCGAGTACAAGGAAAGTTTAATAAGTGCGATATAAAAAACGATCACGTTAATATCATAAATCACCAGTAATGGTATCGTTTTAAAATCTGAACCACACTAAAATTTAGCAAAAAGCTCTTAAAACGCCGCGTTTTTATTACTTTTATATTAGTGTATAATAACAATTTATAATAGTGGCGATAATAGAAAGTGAATTCATAAAATTACTTTTGAAGTTTAAATATTCGGTTTTATTCTTCTAATAGTAGATTGATACCCCTTATCTGTGTATTGGTGTTATAATTGTAATCATACCGGGGTTAAATAGTGTCCGTAGTTGACGCGAGTAGTACGCATTTAAATAAAATACTTTAACCGTTTAAAACGCGATGTACATTAGTAAAACTTATTTTGGAAATTATTTTAATAAGTTAAACTTATACACATTGCGTTTTAAACTATTCAAGTGTTTTTTTTAATATACCGGGGTTATTTTTGGGTTTGTAGATCCTTCTGGTAGTTGTCTGACTATATCGCAAAAATTACCAACGAAAAGACCCGTTCAATTTTAACAGACGTATTTCTGCTTCTGAAATAATATCGTTTTTATAGTTACTGAACCCGCCAAGTGTTTAATTCGCAATTGGTTTTTTAATCATAGCAACACTGCAATGACAATTGCCAAGTCATCTGTGTTATTATAGAGTAAAAATAAAAAAATAATTAGACATTTCGCTTTCACTGAACAGAATAGATGCGTAGTTAGATAACTGCCGCTCGATTTAATTTCGATCGTACGGAGACATTATTCCGGTTTATTATACGCACCAGTGAGTGCATAAGGCTTTTATTTTTTACGCGGAGTGCTTTCATTTTTTGACGTTTCTTCACCGTTATGGAAGCTCTTTTGCACCGAATGTCCACTTATATTATGTTCTTAATGCCGATATATTTTTTACAGTTTGAGTTATTACCCCGCTAAGATTTCTTGGACAAATAGCATTTTTGAATAAAAGAGTAATAGTTATAATAATGTGCATATTAAAACACATAAATACTGACAATTAAAACTATATAATTAAGAAGATAATAATTAAAAAATGGATATTTGAGAATTGCATTAATATACTTAGACTTACATATTATCTATGAGATATAATTTATTTTTTTGTCATATTTACCACCTCCGTGTCTTAAGCATATATATTTGGTCCGTTTAAATAAAATTTAATATGGAGGACGACGTCAGGATGACAAAAACATCATATTAAAAAACGCTAGATCCCAAAATACTCATACCGGTAAATGAGAGAACACTGTGAGTTAGTTCCTCTCAAATATCAACAACGACAAGACAGATGGCGCTACTGAATCAGTTTTGACTTTGACATTAGAGACACCCTCCATTTTGAATTCCCAGTGACCACGGCGAGTGTAAAGTATCTGTAACATCGGGCTGTAGTTAAAATAGGTGTCACTAGTTTGTAAATAATTCGCTTTTCAAACCCTGTAAAATGTCACTTTTGCTAAATCCAAATTTTACGTCCCAATTATGACATGATAAAAGATTATTACATCCTAATAAATGATCGACATATAGGTGAAGGTTATATAGCCTTATACATTTGCATATCAAAGTAATTACAGTGAATGTAAAGTGACCAACTGTTAGTGATAGTATCATCAATCTTCCATACAACTCGCAAGCATATTGTTAGTAAAAGCTGCAGTTATTGAATACGGAGTATTAGAATTGATTGTAATCGATTCTATCATTACTGCTTATCTAATTGTAATGTTCCTTTATAACGAGATGGGGAAATTAGAACGCGGCGGTTTATTTAACTTGTAACTGAAATCAGACGAAACTTAAACCTATGGGGCATGGAGCAAGCTTATTTACGTACTAATTATTCATGATCTCTCCGCACGTAAGTGTAGTTCCGGGGCTCCGAAACCAGGGCCACAAATAGTTTTACTTTTGAGTCACAGAGGGCGCCACATTAACCTAAATCGCCATTAATGTTGTGGTTTTTATATGGATGTACGGAGCGAAGAATTTTATTTAGATGTTGCACTTTAATTTTATTTTGTTTTTTTTTTAATCAGATACTTAAACCCGCGTGTTACTAAGTAGACTTGCGACATATATGTAATATGAAAACTGTCTATCTGTGATGTGTGTATAAAATTATTGTGTCAAAAAAAACTTAAATAGTACTTTAAATAAGGTTTCTTAAAGTGTCTGAGTTTAATTAAAAAGTTTAATTGAAAGTACTTTACGGATCCGTCCGATAATCTTTATGCATTAAATACAGCAAATTAGCAAACGATAATAGGCCTACTACACACAATGCACTGATTGTATCTTTGAACATTAGTACAATTTACCTATTCGGTACGATGTTATCGTGGTTCCGGGTTTACTGAAAGTGAGGACAACTTGAAGAATGTAGATTTTAAGACTATCAGTAATAAATATAAATAATACCGTAAGTTTAAGTATAATAGGCTGTTTATTTGTAAAATATTTTATTTGTCTTTCATTTATTTTTAAGTAAAACTTTCATTTTTTATATTATATCTTTAACTTATGAACCATATCTTGATATATGTATTCTTAAAAAACAGTAAATAGCTTACAATAATAATAATACATTTTGTTTTGTACAAAATACATCTATTTCTATGCCGTCTTGATAAAAATTATTCATCGCTGCAGTAGACACATGAATCACGATAACTGCACCATATTTGTATTCACCGGGGATGAATTCGCGACATCTAAAACTCTAAAGTTGAATCGCGCACACGAATTTTTACCTTAAAACCCATAAAAGCGATACAAACAAGACTAAAATTGCGTGCACATCCCAAATACCTAGGACGGCAATCTCCGAAGAGTATTTTAGACGTAGACGGAGTTTTCTGATAAAAATTCAAGGAAATTTGAAATAGTCTGCACTCAAGTACACTTAGATTGTAAAAAAATGCACAGACGTCGGTATAGATCGAGACGCATAATTTTTAGATTCATTTTCATAATGTGCAGTCGAACGTCTGAGGTCAACTTTATATAGCAATCTATATTAAATGGGCGACCATTACAGTATACCAAATTCTGGGTACATTGGTTTTTGTCTTTAAGTTAGTTTTATATTGCGTATTATCTTTACTCACCACTATCCACAAATGATATTGAGATCATCAATGTATAGTAAACTTATAATATAATAGAAATTATCAAATACATAAATTTTAGCTAATTATTATACGTATAAATATATCCTCCCATCTTTGTTTTCCCTTAATTTGTTGCAAGACAATTAAACTATTTTTTTTTATAAAGTCTAAATAACCTAGAAAATCTAAGATACATAGATTATTTACAATTAATCATTTTCAATAATCTTAATATTTTTCAAGATATAGACATCTCTTCTATATCTCAAAAAATGCTTGTAACGTAGATTAGTATTATAATCATATGTAGCAATTAAGAAGAACAAAGGGA